CGATTTCCACGCAAGGGAACCACTATGAGAAGATTTCAACCGAATAGAATCAGGTGAGCAAAAGTCCAGACTAAAATATATTCTAGAAACTTTGGAGTCAACTATATTCTTCCCATTAACACTAGCAAAAACTCTCAAGATTTCCCCTATTTTAAGAAAGAAAATCTCCCACAAATTTCCCAGAAAATCTTCCTCAATATTTTTTTAGCTTCTCCTAAAACCTTCTGTGACTGCCCCTTTTTTTCGTCAAAAAAAAAAAAAAAATCTCCCCTCTAAGGCTTGGGAAAACGATCTTATATGAGAGAGGGATTAGGGTTCCGAATTTCTTGTGAAATCCCCAATCAACCCTCTGATTATATCAAAATTTGAAAACCTAAAACCCAGCATCCAAATTAGAATCAACTTTTTATGAAAAAATTCAACAGATTCTCAAAAGGGAAGGGGGATTAGATGGCTGGATGAATACCATCATCCTTGATCTTTGACATGGCACAATCTCGAGCCCAAGAGGACGAAACCTGTGTTGTCCTTGCCGCTGCAAATCGTACCATATGAAGGAGGAGACGTTCGAGAGGGGGGAAGTCGACAAGAAATCGCACACGACCCGTTTCACGCGTCCAAGGCGTGAATTGTGACATGATCGCTGGTATTGCGAAGTGCGTCATGTTAAGACGTTGTTGGTGCCCACAAAGATGAAGAATGGGTCAAATTGGGGGTAAATGGGCTGGATTAAAGGGGATTGGGTCGCTGGGAATTGAAAATCTGGGCCTGTTTATTTGGGGTAATGGCTTTGGGCCACTGATGTTTAGTGGGTAGGATGGGAGTGCAAGCTTCCTTTGATAAAAACTAGTGGGCTAGGATTTTCTGGAATTTTGTTAATAAATGGCCCAAATTGGTCATAAGAAAATTACCCATTTAGCCAAATTAAATTGTAATTGGCCAAATTTATTAAAGTTTTTTAAAAAAAAGACGAATTATTATAATTAATTAACAAACTTCTTAAGGTTAATAAAAATAAAATGATTAATTTGAAATAAATTTAAACATTCAAAATATAATCTGAAATAGTTAACCAAATAATTATATAAAACAAGGCATTACTGTCAATATTATTTTTCGATTTTGAATATTAATAAAATTTAAATAGTTATACGAATAGTTACGTAAGACATATACAATAGCTAACACGAAATAGAAAATGTCAAAATCTTATTTTAAAAAAAACTTGCAAGCTAAAATTTATTTATTATTATCTTTTTCTTATTGTTATTATTATTATTATTATATTTTTAATCTATAAAATTTATTATTTTAAATTGTTTAAACTCGAAAAGCTCGGTAATTAAACTATCGAGGAGGGTCAAAATTTGGGTGTCAACAATTGCAATGAGGTATGTGTACACACTATTTTCATCGAATTTCACTATTTGTTGTTGTTTCATGTCACACTAGAGATATTTTCTCATAACAATCCTCAAGAAGTTTAAATTCATAAGAATTTGATTTATATTCACCATTAGTATAATTTTTTTTAATATACTATCAGATCATGCACAAGGAACTTTTTCGAAAGGAGCCAACTCCAACCGATGTTGGAAGTTATAGTAGGCTTATGATCCCCAAAAAATATGCAACAAAATATTTTTCTCAAATCCAAGATGAAGAGATGATACTCATTTATGATACTTCAAGAACATTATGGAAGTTTAAGTATCATTGTTGTAAAAGTAGTCAAAATTTTCTTTTCACAACGGTTTGGCTTAACTTTATCAAAGATAAAGGTTTAAGGGCGAAAGATACAGTTATTTTCAACTCATGTGAATCCATGAATGGAACAAAAGTGAACAATTGCAATACCTTTGTAATTGATGTGGCTAAGAATATTGAAGTTTTGACAATCGATCAACAAGAAGAAATTATTGATCAAGATGTTGCTGCTAATTTGGTACCAGTTTATCTATTTGGAAAGCAAATAGACTTAGTGTTTATCGACAATGTAAAGAATTTTATATTATGCTCTCTTTTTATTATTATTATATCAAGTACTTGTTCTATTTTTAAGTTATTAATAATAGCACTCTTTAGTGAGGTTATTGTTGGATTTTTTCAAAAATTTATTTCATAATTTGAAATTTATATCATGTTGTCGATGTATATACAATGAACTCTTTTAATAATTCCGCCACTGGTATAGCCAAAAGTACTTTAATGTCTTGTTTGGGGAGTGAGACTTTTAAGGTTATTGCTCTCTTCGTCTTTAGATAAGTATTATTTTAGGTTATTAAAATATAAATATAAATGCAAAATTTAAATTATAAGTTACCTTATTTATAAGATGTTAATTGAGAAATGTGCACTACAAGAAGTCAAGAAGAATAGTTTTTTAAATATAAGATATAGTTAAAAAAATTAATTACTATTATTTTTATCTTAGAACTTTACGGAGACACTTTTTTTTTGACAATTTTTTTCTTATTGAAATATCACTTATTTTCAGATAGAGGGATTATAAACTAGGATTAGTTTCTTCTTCTTTTTTGTTACTAATATTAATAGCCATATATATCACAAAGAAAAATAACACATGAATGTGATAACTAAAAGTTATTTTTATATATTTTTAGAAAAAAATAGTTTTAAGAAGGCTTCTAAAAGAAAGAAAATAGTTATTTTGACAACCAATGGGCATTGAAATCCTGCAATAACTCAATATAAATAAGTTGAAAGTTGAAACTCTAGATGAGGTAGGTCATAAATTTTTTCATTGTAAATTTATATCTTTATACCATAAACTTGTGTGTTTAGGAGTCCTTGATGATTAAAATAGCCTAATTTTTACTATGACTGCAATTTTAGGGTATTTGTTTTCCAGCTCTATCAAAAATAAAGTGTCGATAAATTACTTCTTATTGAATAACATTAAAATTATAATATTGAACAAATAGCCATCATGGTTTAAGATATTTCCCAGAAACATATGGGATCTAATTGAAATTAAATTGAAATGATTCAACTACTACTTTATTGGTTTATAGGTATAAACGCTCAATGCAGGTAAGTATTATTTCAACAACAATCTGAGCCACTTCTTGCGTCTACACTGTGTAATCTCTCAATTTCTTTTGCAAGATGAACAAGCAATTGTGGTATTATACTGGGTATATGTGTTGTTGTTTTTGCATGTCACACTAGAGATCAGAGACGTAGCTATCCTTGTCGGAGAGGTATATAAAGTGACAACCCCTTCGTCAGCAAATTAATTACGTTATAAAGATAGATTAAATTTTGATTTTACACATACATATATTAATGTTGACACCTCTTGACACAAAGTAAAGAATTAGCACAACGGTTGAGGGGTGTAAAACTTCTCATGTTCAGATGGTCAATTCTGACTCTAGTTTTTTTTAAAAAAACTTCAGCATTAAAAATCCTACTCTGCGACTGCTAAAGATATTTTCTAATAACGAGCCATAGCAAATTCAAATTCGTAAAAAATTAGATTATACACACCATTATCAATATAATTTTTTTTGTATACAATAGTTAGGGGTGTACATAACCGGGTTGGTTCGAGTTTTTCAAATATCAAACCAAACCGTTCATGTAAAAAAATTAATTTATAAATCAAACCAAACTAAACTAATAAAATTCGGATTTTTTTGGATTTTTTAACCTCCGATTGGTTCGGGTTTTTCAAATACCAAACCAAGCCATTGAGTCAAATTTTATATATATAAATCAAACAAACTAATAAACTTTGGATTTTTCCAGATTTTTGAATTTTTTCGGTAAAGTTTGCATACAAACATATAATTAACTTGTGCTCCAAATATTTCTTTAGTCCAACCAAAATACAATTATCTAAGGTGCTTCTTAAAAAAATAACACAAAATATGAGATGAGTATTGATGTCACAAAAATAGTATAAGTGTCTCTGAGATTTCGGGCATTGATTGAGGGGGTACTTGTGCATTTTCGCTAAAAATAATAATGAAATCATCCTATAAAAATAAATATTGTAATGTCATAATGAAAATAATCATAATATAAAAATACTAAATTATGATAAAAATAAGTTTAATAAGTATTTGTTACGTTACTAAATATTTAAGGAGAACAAAATTGGATTATGTATTATTGTCTGAACCAATGTAAAACTAAAGAACAAATATTTAATATCATTGTCATTCTTAGTGTTGAACTGATTTTTTTCTGCATTAGTATTAAATTGATTTTGATTTAAGTTTTATTATAATTATCAACATCTATGAACTATAATCTTTATTGGATCATTCCGAATTCGAAGTTTTAACCTTGAATTAATATATTAAAAGATAAAAACAATGAAATAGTATAAGAAATATTTTAAAATGATATTAAAGTAAAAAATTTTATGTATAAAATAAAATTTTAAAATTACATATATAATGTCAGATTATTTTGGTCCGTGTTAATTTTTTTTAGTTAAAACCAAACCAACCCAAATATAGTCGAGTTTTTTTTCCAATATCAAACCAAATCACTAGCTGAGTTCTTTTGTCAATTCGACTCGATTTGTAGTTTGATTCAATTTTTTATTCAATTTTATACGCCCCAACTAACAGGACACCCACGAGAATATCCACATAATATAAGCAAGCCTTCTAAAATTATGGATTTATAATCTTTAGAAATATAAGACATGTTATATGCTATAACATATAAAGATTATTTGATAGTGCTCTATAATCTAGAAATAAGGCAAATAACTACAATGGTACTGTTAACTATAATGGCATTATAGATAGGCTAAACTTTTATTGAGTACTGGAAAAAATAAAGATCCTTCAATGAAATGGTCTTCTATACAGTGTCTTGCATGATTAGAAAGTACCATGCAAATGTAAAGTTAAGTCTAATTAATGGGGTAGTCAAGAACTCTAAAGTTCAAAAGATGCAAATGGCGGAAATGAAGATGTTGAGACGGATGTGTGGGCATATATACTAGGAGTGACAAGATTAGGAATGAGTATATCTGACACAAAGTGAGAGTGGCCTCCATGGTGGATAAGTTGAAGGAAGGGAGACCGAATGGTTTGGACGTGTAAGGAGGAGATGTGTTGATGCCCTAGTGAGAAGGTGCAAGAGATTGGATATAGTGGGGTCGAAGAGAGATAGAGGTAAGTGAAGAAGTATTAGATCAACTTATCAATGACATAATCTTACATATGAGGGTATGGAGATTGCGGATAAGGGTAGGAGGTTAGTAGGTAATTAAGAGTTGTCCTATTAGTAGCTTATGTATGCATTTGGTTTGGGGTGGTATAGATCATTTAGTCGGTTTTAGTATTAGTCTATTCAGGTAGTCTATAGATTTTGATATTCGTTATCATCTTAGGTTTACTGTATTTGGTGTGGTTCCTTGCATATAGTTGTTACTACGGTGCTATTAGTTGTCATGCTTCTCCGCCTGTTTTTTCATTTTATTACTGTTTTGATATTCTTGAGTCGAGGGTCTTCCGAACACAACCTCTCTACCTCTAAGAGGTAGTACTAAGGACTACGTAGACTCTACCCTCTCCGGACCTCACTTTTGGGATTCACTAGCTATGTTGCTATTGTTAGCTCGACAAAAGTACAAGTAAAATTTAGGTAATAAGAACTACTACTATATCTAACAAAAAAAATAAATTAATAGAAATATAAGGATAATACTTACTCACACTCGATGCTTCGCCACCTTGTGGCCTTCCTTCCCGGAAGCCTTTTACCCATAGCCTCTAGCAAGAGATATTTTCTCCTCACAAAAATAAATAAATAGAAAAATACTAAACAAAAATAAAAAATTGATGTCTAAACTTCCGTCTTTCTTGCACCAAATAATACTAACTACCTTTTTTCGTTGCAATTTTTCTCCAAAATTCCCAGTCCACAGCCAATTAATTTTCTTTCAGACTTCCAGGTTTGCAATTCTCAATTTTAATATTGTTATTGGCAACCACATTTCAAGCTAGGCATTAACATGCCTGCAAATGGAATATAATAAAATCGTAAAACTATACGATTCGTCAGAAAAGGGCATAATAGGTACATTTTTTTCTATGTTGATGTAATTGAAAGTAAACATGCATATATTGTTCCCAATTCCTGTGGAGATCTGATAAAAGGGTACGATTATTCGACATTGGATGGATGTATGAAAATTAAATTTTATCCCATGAGTTCCATCACCTTTAAAGTTTGTGTCTGTTCAGTTGATGAATTGAGGTGAAACATGTCTCATCATGTTACAAATAGGTCACAATCATCATCTTCTCAACCGCCTGTCGTCCAAAAACTAACGGATGATCCTGTAAACCCCAAGAATGCTCAAAGTAGCGTTACGTGTGTTTATCAGTCACATATCGGGGGCTATTGGCGTAATGTGACTGTTATATGGAGCAAGAATCTAATGAATCATTCTGTGACCTTAACGGTTGATAGTGTTGAAAGTGATTATCATCAAACATGTAAGATTGATCTTAAACCTTGGCATTTTTGGGCTAAAAAAGGATACAAGACATTTGAGGTTGATGGTAATCAATTGGAGGCTTATTGGGATCTAAGGTCAGCAAAATTTTCAGGAAGTCCTGAACCATGTTCTGATTTTTACGTTGCTTTAGTTTCGGAGGAAGAGGTTGTGTTGTTGTTAGGTGATTACAAGAAAAAAGCCTACAAGAAAACTAAATCAAGGCCAGCATTGGTGGATGCCCTGTTGTTTTACAAAAAAGAACATGTTTTTGGTAAGAAGAGTTTTTCAACAAGAGCTAAATTTGATCAAAGGAAACAAGAAAGTGATATTGTGGTAGAGAGCTCAACGACAGGACCTAGAGATCCCGAAATGTGGATAAGCATAGATGGGATTGTTTTGATTCACATAAAAAACTTGCAATGGAAATTCAGGGGAAATGAAACCGTATTAGTGAACAAACAACCCGTGCAAGTCTTTTGGGACGTGCACGCTTGGTTGTTCTGTTCACCAGGGTCAGGTCATGGCCTATTCATTTTCAAGCCGGGGGCATCTGAGGATGATAGTGACAAGGAAGGGAGTAGCGTGGGTGGTGGTAGCGATTGCAGTGACCAAAGCAAGTATTATTCAACGTTAAGCTACTCTAAATCATCGCCATTTTGTCTCTTCTTATATGCATGGAAAATTGAGTGAGGACTAAGCAAACCAATGAATATTGAAAATTTAAACAGCATGAGCTTCCTGTTTACAAAGAAACTGTAACTGGATAAGCAAATGTCTTGTAGAGATCAGCAGAGTAAGTTAAATTTCTTGGTGTTTTCACTCCAAATGAATTCGTGTAAATTTTGTGAAAATATTATTCGATACAAAACTATGCTTTTTTCACCTAGGCGGGCGGATGCAGTGTGTGTGCACGGGGCAGTTACACTCTCATATATATATTTGTATAGTCGGACAGTATACAAAATTCAATTATATGTATGTTTTGCATGCACCATTTGTGATTGAGAATTTCGTATTCACTGAATTAAAATCTTAACTACTCTGCTTTTTCTTTTTCTCTTGATAATTGACCTAATTATTCTTCGATTTTTCATCAACTTAAGTTAGAGACCTCGTGGTGTATGACCATGTTCATATCATATGATCAAGTTAGTTGGATGTCTGGCTATTTTTGTACATTCAAAACGTTCAATCGTTTTTTGATGTCAACCTTTGTGAACACATGAATTGTATGAAATATACATACATACATCTTGAGTGAATTATACGTGTGATCAATAAACTTTACCCATCATATAAAAGATGTGTTCGTTCTAAATCCACTGACTTGAAATCATCGATCAGGATATAATAATAGTGACGTGTCCTTTTCATGATATATAGATATTTGAACCGACTAAAATGGGCTTAAATCGGAGAATGGGTTACAACTACACTTTTATCGTTTCTGCACACTGGGGTTATAAACATATCCATGAAGCTGAATTGCTATGTTCATTTAGATTCTTTTAACTGCAAATTTAAACTGAAACTTGTAGCTGTATTTATTGAGTATATTATTACTGTTTATTTAATTGACAACTATGTATAGCGTCTATAAAACATGGGATTAGTAGAGTTAAGGTAGGTTATCTGCTACAGTTAACGTGCATATCATTCATCACATCTTGTGCAACACTACTAGCCTCAACGTGAAAAAGGCGGCTTGAACTTGTATGGTGTCCAAGAAATGGTACTATTTTGTTGGACTTCGAGACCTAATCTGACATAGAAATACTAAATGATTTGCGCATGACCAAAATTTGATTCCATGATTCGATTGAGGTATGTTTAGACTCGATGTTTTCTATAAGAAATTTGGAGACATGTTAAGTTGCTATGTACATGTTAGAAATTAGAATGCCTTAATAGTGTTTTCTCTTGTTTCTGAAATGTAACAATAAAGCTACTAGATCTCTATATTTTTCTTATCCATATAACCTCTCATCGAGGCAAGATCCACATGAATTTTGAGTTGACTCTACTCCTAGAGTTTGGATTAAAAAGATGAATCAATCAAGTTGTCTAGATACTTCTAGGTTCTCTTCATTTTCTTGTCTAGGCCGATTTTTATGTATATTAGCAGAATTTAGTCGTTTGTTTTTTGTTGTCTTTATTTAAAAAAATCTGGGATTGGACCTGAGTCACTTTTGGGCCCAAGTTTTGTATATACTTCTTTTTAAAAAATAAAAATAAAAATGGCCTATTTATCCCAATTTTAATTAGAAAAAGAATTAAAATTAGTAAACTAGTAAAAAAACATATTTAGTAAAAATAATCATACTTTATAAATATTAGTAATAATGTCAAAAATGTCATTATTTTAAAAAATTTATGTATCCCAATTTTCCTCCTATTTTATCTCCCCTTTTCCATTAATTCTATGTATCTTTGTTTTTTTTGAAAAAAAAAACATCGCTTAAGTCATATGCAGCCACTTAAAGTTATCCACAAAATTAACTTAGACACCTCAACTTATCCGTATGCCTATTGAACACCTTATTTGTTCAAAAATCATTTCCATTAAACACAAAATGCTGACATGACAAAAAATGTGTGGTTCACTTTCTTTGAAAGCGTTAAGTTATTAAAAATAATATATATATATATATATATATTTCATTAACTTTTACATCTATTTTAACTTTTTTTAAAAAATAATTAACAAAAAAAAAGAGGAAACATCCATCTTCTTCCCCAATATTGCTACAACTATTCTTCCACAAGAAAAAGATTAGTCAATACAAAACCTTTTCCTAAAAGGAAAACCTATTTATGGTAAGAAATCATGGCAAATAAAACCCAACAAATCTCTCCCTTAGCCTGAATTTCTAACAAAATAAATTTGTCCACCTTCTTCACTTAATCTTCAACGACTTGTTTCTTCTCTCCATAATCTCCCTTGCAAAATCTATGTCTCAACACAGAGAACGTCTCTGAAATAATTTCTCAAACAAAATCTTCAATACTGTCAAAAAGGTTGCGGCTAGAACTGCATCTGTCAAGATGAACACCTCTTTCTAACCTGGTTCAATCATCGTTTATCGAACCATAAAACCTGACTTCATCATTGAATCTGGCTATGATACCACTTTTTAGGACCGAAAATAAGCAGGTGTAACGCGGAAGCTAGCAAAGAAAACCTCAAGAGACTACGAGTAAGAAGACAACGAGAAGTATACCTAAAAACACAAAGATTTAACGTGGTTCGGTCAATCGACCTACGTCCACAAAGGAGATGAGCAATCCACTATAAATATGAGAGTACAAAATACAGAGAGAAACAACCTCAACCAATTCACTCGGAATACATGGGAGGTTCACACAAGTGATAATGTATCAAGCTTGTGACCCACAATTTCTCCCCCTAACAAAAACTCTCAAAGCTCTGAAGACTACATTGTGAATGCTGATTCAGTTAGAAGGAGCATGCCTCTATTTATAGAGTCCTAAACCTTTTCCTACAAGAGAAAGATTAGTCAATACAAAACCTTTTCCTAAAAGGAAAACCTATTTATGGTAAGAAATCAGGGAAAATAAAACCCAAAAATCTCCCCCTTGGCCTGAATTTCTAACAAAATAAATTTGTCCACCTTCTTCACTTAATCTTCAACGACTTGCTTCTTCTCTCCATAATCTCCTTTGCAAAATCTATGTCTCAACACAGAGAACGTCTCTGAAACAATTTCTCAAACAAAATCTTCAATACTGTCAAAAAAGTTGCGGCTAAAACTGCATCTGTCAAGATGAACACCTCTTTCTAACCTGGTTCAATCATCGTTTATCGAACCATAAAACCTAACTTCATCATTGAATCTGGCTCTATACCACTTGTTAGGACCGAAAATAAGCAGGTGTAACGCGGAAGCTAGCAAAGCAAACCTCAAAAGACTACGAGTAAGAAGACAACGAGAAATATACCAAAAAACACAAAGATTTAACGTGGTTCGGTCAATCGACCTACGTCCACAAAGGAGATGAGCAATCCACTATAAATATGAGAGTACAAAATACAGAGAGAAACAACCTCAACCAATTCACTCGGAATACATGGGAGGTTCACACAAGTGACAATGTATCAAGCTTGTGACCCACAATTTCTCCCCCTAACCAAAACTCTCAAAGCCCTGAAGACTACATTGTGAATGTTAATTAAGTTAGAAGGAGCATGCCTCTATTTATAGAGTCCTAAACCTTTTTCTACAAGAAAAAGATTAGTCAATAAAAAACCTTTTCCCAAAAGGAAAACCTATTTATGGTAAGAAATCAGGGCAAATAAAACCCAACAAATCTTCCCCTTAGCCTGAATTTCTAACAAAATAAATTTGTCCACCTTCTTCACTTAATCTTCAATGACTTGCTTCTTCTCTCCATAATCTCCTTTGCAAAATGTATGTCTCAACACAGAGAACCTCTCTGAAACAATTTCTCAAACAAAATCTTCAATATTGTCAAAAAGGTTGCGGCTAAAACTACATCTGTCAAGATGAACACCTCTTTCTAACCTGGTTCAATCATCATTTATCGAACCATAAAACTTGACTTCATCATTGAATCTGGCTCTGATGCAACTTGTTAGGACCGAAAATAAGCAGGTGTAACGCGGAAGCTAGCAAAGCAAACCTCAAAAGACTACGAGTAAGAAGACAACGAGAAATATACCAAAAAACACAAAGATTTAACGTGGTTCGGTCAATCGACCTACGTCCACAAAGGAGATGAGCAATCCACTATAAATATGAGAGTACAAAATACAGAGAGAAACAACCTCAACCAATTCACTCGGAATACATGGGAGGTTCACACAAGTGATAATGTATCAAGCTTGTGACCCACAATTTCTCCCCCTAACCAAAACTCTCAAAGCCCTGAAGACTACATTGTGAATGCTGATTAAGTTAGAAGGAGCATGCCTCTATTTATAGAGTCCTAAACCTTTTTCTACAAGAAAAAGATTATTCAATACAAAACCTTTTCCTAAAAGAAAAACCTATTTATGGTAAGAAATCAGGGCAAATAAAACCCAACAAATCTCCCCCTTGGCCTGAATTTCTAACAAAATAAATTTGTCCACCTTCTTCACTTAATCTTCAACGACTTGCTTCTTCTCTCCATAATCTCCTTTGCAAAATGTATGTCTCAACACAGAGAACCTCTCTGAAACAATTTCTCAAAAAAAATCTTCAATACTGTCAAAAAGGTTCCGGCTAAAACTACATTTGTCAAGATGAACACCTCTTTCTAACTGGTTCAATCATCGTTTATCGAACCATAAAACCTGACTTCATCATTGAATCTGGCTCTGATACAACTTGTTAGGACCGAAAATAAGCAGGTGTAACGCGGAAGCTAGCAAAGCAAATCTCAAAAGACTACGAGTAAGAAGACAACGAGAAATATACCAAAAGGCACAAAGATTTAATGTGGTTCGGTCAATCGACCTACGTCCACAAAGGAGATGAGCAATCCACTATAAATATGAGAGTACAAAATACAGAGAGAAACAACCTCAACCAATTCACTCGAAATACATGGGAGGTTCACACAAGTGATAATGTATCAAGCTTGTGACCCACAATTTCTCCCCCTAACCAAAACTCTCAAAGCCTTGAAGACTACATTGTGAATGCTGATTAAGTTAGAAGGAGCATGCCTCTATTTATAGAGTCCTAAGACTTTTCCTACAAGAAAAAGATTAGTCAATACAAAATCTTTTTGTAAAAGGAAAACCTATTTATGGTAAGAAATCAGGGCAAATAAAACCCAACATAAGTTTGTAGCCAAAGTACAAATGCAATTCGTTTTAAGTCCAGGTCTAGGGTATATAGGTGGAAATTGTTCGAGAAAGTGTGGGGTGGTGATATGCGACATATTTATATGCCAAAATGTCAAATTAAACCCATATGAAATCTTAGTTTGATACCAAAACTCGATATTATTTGTAGTTTTTGAGTCGGGGGTATGCATATAGAGTAACCAATGTGATTAGTGTTTGTAGGTAAGGGAAA